GTTTCTAGGGAATAAGCCTATAAATTGCATGATAGATTTCTATATAGATTTCATTTACAAAACAAAAACAAAAACAAAAATGCTCTGGACCCTTGTTATGGAGCTGCCACTAACCTAACCTGCATGTGTTGTACCTTGTCTTCAAGAACACAAAACCCTTATATTCTCCATAACGGGCTCTCTTCCCTGACCTATTTGAAACAGCAGTGAGTATAAAAGCAAGCATCGCACCATTGTCATATAACACATCTTCCAGAAAAGATGCAAAGGAGTTGTCACATCTGGTTGTTACAAAACATGCTGGGCTGGGGAAACGTGTAGTTGCTGGAAAGCCCAAAGAAACCTCTTAATTTGGGTCTAGAACAAATAGATGGCACTTATACAGTACCTTCATTAAAAAGTGACTCCATTGTAAAAATCTGAGTTCTGTATCTGTGGACACCAAAATCTCAAAGGAGACCCACAAAGGCAGAACACACAGAATGGATGATGAAAGAGAAGGGAGCGGGAGCATTCCCCAAACACCCGTGAGATACAATAAAAATAATAGCAGCAATGATGATAACCAACACAATTTATAGCTAAAACCACTTACCAGAGTTAAAGCACTTTTCACACAGATGCACCAGGCTGACACAAAGACTAACATTTTATAGATCAAGACATGTAAGCTCAGAGAAGTTCAAGTCTTATCCACGTCACAGTTATCCAATGGGAAGGCTGAAGCATGTCCACACACCTCCCACCTCTAAATGCTGTGTTCTTCACACAACATTTCACTTCAGACCACGGAATAATACCTAGGCCTCTCTTCTAAATTTCTGGATATGTTGGTAATTATTTTTAAATATTTTTTTTTTATGATTTGAGAGACAGGGGGAAGGAGAGAGATCGAGAGACAGAAACACTGATGAGAGAGAAACATCATAGTTCAGCTGCCTCCTGCAATCCCCCTATGGGGGATCAAGCCAGCAACCCAGGTTGTGCCCTGGCCAGGAATCAAACCAGTGAGCTCTTGGTTCATGGGTCAACACTCAACCACTGAGCCACACCACCGGGCAAGTAATTATGTGTTGAAATCCAGAAAAGTCGAGGTGCTAAAGAAAACTAGTTTATTATCTCTATTGCCATGTAATTAATGTGTTGGAGAATGGGGATAAGCTGGTACATAAAAAGCATCCAGGAAAGTAGCAAAATAAGAAACTTGGCTTTAGGGCCCTTTGAAGCTATTTTAAAAAGTAAAATGTTATGTTAAGAGCTATGTGGTGTATCCCTCTGTGTGCATAATTATTATTCCATTGATTTATTGCTCACATGTCAAAGAGCATCTGGGCATTTATGCAAGTTAAAACAACCAACCCAAGAGCCAAGCCACACAGCCTCAAACCCAGACAACTTGCCTCCCACCCTTGTCCCACTCTTCATCCTGCCACCTCCCAAACAAAAATTCTCATAGTAAGAATCTTCCTGGCAGAGATGAACTGTTAAACCAGTGACATCTGTCATGTGCACCATATACTAAAAGAGTAGCTAAAACCAGTTGATAGCATAGATTTTTCAGAGAAACCAGCAAATTTCTTCTAATTCTAGAAAGAACCCTCTTCTGTTTTGGCAAAAGCTTTTAAGGAGTAACTCAGGAATCAAACTGAAGGAGTTATCACATGTAACCTTCTGCAAGGATGAGCCCTGATCTGTCATATGGGCATAATGAATCATAACGTATCTACTGAATACTCATCCACTAAGGTAGGGAGACTCTTTAGAGGTGGGAAAATCACTTTAATATATTTCACCCTGTTGCCAAAAAATCCTTTGCCTATGATCCAACCATTAGAGCAAATTTTAACTGAAACTGCTTCCCCTAAGTCTTAGAGATGGACATCACTGGGTAACTGTCTCCATTTTTATTTACAGAGATCTTAAAAGAAAAAAAAAAAGGCAAAAAGAAAATTCCTCTGATGTCTCCAGCTGATAAAATCATTAATCACACACTCCGAACTTCAAAGCAGAAGACGAGAAAATCACCTCACTTTCCCTGCACATGGAGAATAATTTTTCTACTTCAAAGAACCGTCTTTTTTATTGGGTCATTTTAATTATTGAACGTGGGATGGAAGCTATCCACATAATGTCACCACTGTCTTTTTCATGAAATATACATAGGTCTAATTTGACTACATTCATTCAAGAGGGAAACACTGAGGAGAGGATAAGAAAAGGGATATGGGCTGGGGATACAGCTCTCCTCAGTGCAAAGGAGTAAGAGAAAGGAAGTAAGCCTTTCGGGGCTGACTTTTCTCATTCCTTCCTCTTGGAGAGAAACCAGCAAGAAGCAGACTGCCTATTTGGGCAATTCCTCAAGGGACTGCCTTGCTTCTCAATTCTCCTATCCAACACACGGCAACACAATCACACTACCTTTATTAGTAACTAGAGGCCCAGTGCACGAAGTCATGCATGAGTGGGGGGTTCCTCGGCCTGGCCTGTGATCAGGGCCAATAGGGGACATCTCACCCAGCCACGGTCAGGGCCGATCAGGGCCAGCCGGCTGGGGGGAGGGACCACGGGAGGTTGGCTGGCCTGGCCATGGGAATTTGGCTGTGGGAGCACACTGATCACCAGGGGGCAGCTCATGCGTTGAGCATCTGTCCCCTGGTGGTCAGTGTGCGTCATAGTGACCGGTCGACCTATTGTAACCGTCACTTAGGCTTTTATAGGTACTAGTATAGATGCTGGCATTATTGCCAACCTCAGACAACTGTGGGTACAATCAGTTGATTTGTGAATAACAAGTGTGAAGAAAACCTTGTGTTCCAGAACAAGGGTCAGCAAACTATCTGGCCCTCTTCAGAGTAAGACTGCTAGAGAGAGGTCAAGTCAGGCATTCCAATCCCCACTCGGCCCTTTTCCCACAAAATCACAATGCCAAGAATTGGCAAATTTCTTCTGTAAAGGGCCAAAGAGTAAATATTTTTAGCTTCGCGGGCTATACAATCTCTGCAGCTACTCAATTCTGCAGTTATAGCCAAACACAACACATAGACACTAGTAAATGAGTATGGCTGTGTCCTAGCAAAACATTACTTCCAAAAATAGGCTGAGGGTGGGATTTGTCCACAAGCCATAGTTTTCAACTCCTATTCTAGTCAAGTGCTAGATACTAGAAATGTTCTAGCACTGTGCTAGCCAATACAGCTGCCATTAGCCAGAGATGACCATTAAATACTTGAAATGTGGCTAGTCTGACTAAGGAACTATATTTTAAATTATACAGAATTTAATTTTCTTTAGTTTTTATTAAATTTATTGGGGTGATATTCATTTAATAGGATCATATAGGTTTCAAGAATATATAGGTTTCTATGATACATGATCTGTATATATAGCATTTTGTAGCCACCACCCAAAGTCAAATCATCTTCTGTCACCATGTATTTGGCCCCCTTTACACAGGAACTGCATTTTAAATGTGACTGACTTTTACTCATTTAAATTTTAACAGACATGGGTGGCTAGTGCAGTGGTCGGCAAACTGCGGCCCCTTGAGTGTGGCTCTTCCACAAAATACCACGTGCGGGTGCGCACGTCCAGTGCGATTGAAACTTCGTGGCCACACTCAAGGGGCCAAAGAGCCACGTGTGGCTTGCGAGCCGCAGTTTGCCGACCACTGGGCTAGGGGCTCCAGTATTCGATAGCACAGTGGTAGATGCTTCTCACTGCTCCTCTACAAGGCAGATTCAGGCCACCTTCCAATTTATGGCATAGTTTAAAATTTTTCCTTAAAAAAGAAGATATCCATGCTTCCACATTCAAAATGAAGCCACATCCAACTGAAAATTACGTTTCTTACGTGTGGAATATCTACATCATTGAAGCGAAAATAAGTGTTTGGTTTGAATCAATCAAATAACAGCAATTTAGCCAAAGTGAAGTGCATGGGGGCTAAGTCAGATCCACGCCAAGACTTATCCAATGTGGAACCTGTTTCCTGTCTCCTCTGCACACTGGCCTGCACCTCCCTGAGGGCACAGACCTACTGAATGGTCCCATGTACTCCTAAGGAAAGTCCAAATCTCCCCGCAGACCCAAAAATGTAAAAATTCAAAGACATAGTTCAAGAGCACAAGAGGGAACACGCATCTCAGTTAGGCTGCCTTCTCCCAAAGTGATCACATCATATGCTGCCTCTACACAGATATCGGGCACTCACCACATCCTTCGCTGCTGCCCACACGGATAATTTATTTTCTGCCAACTGTTTTATTTGCACAATAAGTAGCTTGTGTCCTGCATTCCTTCGCTGTCCCCAAAATATAATCCAATGGGGAGAAGCAAGGAAATAAGATAGCAACATGTTTGTTTGTTTTCCAAGTGTGAATAAGAAATAACAAACCAACTTTTCGTTTAAGCAATTTGTATAATATCAACTTTCTTCAATGGGTAAAAGAATATTGAAAATTAAGGATACTCTTTAGGAAGTAAGAAACCTTCGGAATCATAGGTGCCAGGAGGGGGACCTATATAAATACACACAAAGGAAGGTAAATGACATTCTGACTTTTTAAAATGATTTTTGATAAAAAATAAAACCATTCCAGATCCAATCATTTATTTATCTGTGGTTCCCAAATCTCCAAAGCTGAAAAAAATGAAAGAAAAAAAATCCAAGTGTGAAGCAAACTCCCTTAACTGGCACAACCTGACGCAAACTGGCAGAGGATTACTTATATAGTCTTTATTTATCCACTTTAGGGTGAGAACTTGTTTCTGCAGAAATATCCATGTGTTTGTATAACACTCCCAGGAACTGCACTGGGAGGTTACACAATCTATGATACATGCAGTAGGTCTTCCCTTTCCAAAATCCACCCAAATTCTGATATCCAAAACACCTCTTGCCCCAAGGGTTTGGATAAGGAATCTTCTAAAGAAAGCTGTTCAGGTAGAACATTTCTATCAACTCAGCGTCTGCTGCCCAGAATTCTGAGACGGTGCCTTACCTCGGTTTGAAGAATGGCAGCCCGCTGTTCTTTGGCAGTAAGCGACTCTTTAAGCACTTCAATGTGTTGCTTGCAATCTGAATTTTGATTGCTAAGGGTTTCAAGCTTTGTTTGTAAGGCAAGAAGTTCTGATTCCTTCTTTGAAAGTTCCTGCTTTAGCTGATCAATCTGTAAAACAACAAAATTGCAAGAAATTAGAAGCCACAAATACTACTCTCTATTTGAAAGCTACTGATTTCTCTTATAGTCCTTTCGTGTGTGTGTGTGTGTGTGTGTGTGTGTGTGTGTGTGTGTGTTCTTTAAATGACTTGTTTCTTTTTCTTTTTCATAGTCAGTGATTATTATTCCAACAATGCAGGCGATACGTTTGATGAAAAAGATGCTCCTGGCAGTCACACAGACTTGGGTTCTGGGAGGCTCTGCAAATGTGGCAGAAAGTGTAGAAAGCCGGAAAGGTAAGGTCAGAAGACAGCCATCCACCTTCCACCCCACTGAGAACCAAGGTTCACAGTAGAAAAAAAAAAGGCTTCCTGGAAAAACCTCCTATTCATCTATGAAACCAAAGGCAATTCACCAAGATCCTCAGAAGGGTAAACAGAGAGCTAATAAAAGTACTTAACCTAAGACATAACCTGGACCTTCTCTACTATTCCACAGAACAATCATTCAAGGGCATTATTTGACAGAAGAGAATTCTCACCCCCAGCCCAAAAAAAATAAGTATTGGGGGTGGGTGTGTTTTTTTGCTTATATTAAATACTGAGAAAATACAAAATAAATAAAATAGATATAAAGTATAAGGGAAAATAACACAAGTAATATCCATCATTCAATTCACCAAAAAAGATAGAATTATCTGTGCTCAGCACATTTCTATCTCCTTCTGTCCCCCTTCAGAAATAACTCCCACTCTAAATTTTATGCTGATCATTTTCTTGCTTGTCTTTTAGGTTCACCATGTATTTTTTCCATCTGCAAATGATATATGCCATTTAGTTTTGAATACTATTTAGGTTTCTAACTTTGTTTGCAGTGTATGTTTTGGGGGATATTTCTTAAGCATTGGGCTTTTTTCTACTCAATCTTATGCCCTAGAGATTAAATCGTGTTATTGTACAAGCAATTTGTTTGTTTTCATTGAAGAACAGTATTCCATTGTAAAACTTCACCGCAGTTTATTTGTCCATTCTGTTGCTGATAGACATTTGGGTTTGTTTCCAGGTGGTATTGTTGTTTTTCCCTATGAAAGTGCTATTCTGGCCTGGCCAATGTGGCTCAGTGTCGATCTATGAACCAAGAGGTCACGGTTTCATTCTAGGTCTGGGCACATGTCCGGGTTCCAGGCTTGAACCCCAGTGGGGGAACTGCAGGAGGCAGCCGATCAATGATTCTCTCTCATCATTGATGTTTCTATCTCTCTCTCCTTCTCCCTTCATCTCTGAAATCAATAAAAGTATTTTTTTTAAAAAAGTGCTATTCTGAACATTCTTCTATATATCACCTGGTACACACAGTAAAAATAATCTAAAAGTTAAATTGCTGGACCACATAGTATATGTACACATCTTCCACTTCACTAGACAAACAAATGTTTTCCAAAGCAGTTACATTAATATTCATAGTCACAGGCACGGTGTGTTCATCACTCCACAGCCTTGCCAATCTTATGTCACCAGCGTTCTACATTTCTGCCTGCAGAAGGAATGGCAGCTTCAGCCTCCTCCTGCTGGCAGCCAGCCACCATGCTAGAAGTCAGCTATCCTCCCACTGCTGTGCTCTGAGGAAGCCATACCAAACACACAGTGGGCAAAGAAAGACAGAGAAGCTGGTGGAAATGATAATTCCTTTGTCTTGTTCGTGATCGTAAAGGGGAGAATTTCAACGTTTCACCGTGAATGTTCATGTTTGTTTTAGCTTTTTATAGGCCCTCTTAGGTTTCAGAAAGTTCCATTTTATTACAACTTTGGAAAGTGTTTTGCTTTGTTTTTTTAATCTTCACCCAAGGATGTGTTTACTGATTTGAGAGAGAGGAAGGAAGGGAGATGGATGAGTAGTTTCAGTCTTCCATATTTCGATCTTTGAATCTGCCTCATCTGTTAATCACTTAAAGGTGGGTTAAAACACTTACTTAATGATGAAATAATAAATTCTTCCTTATAGTTCTACCAATTTTTAGATCTAGAAATGGTTTCATTGTCTTAATGTCTACAAATCCATTCCTTTAAAGGTTATGAAATCTGTCATTAGCTGCAGTTTTTATAGTTTTATTGAAATATAATTTACATACCATAAAGTTCACCTAACTAAAGTGTACTATTGATGGTTTTTAGTATTTCCCATCAACATCATGGTTGTACACGTGAATCCTCTCAAAATAAAACCTTTCATCATCTCAAAATGAAAGCCTAAAACCATTAGCTGTCCCTCTCCATTCCCCACCCTCTACCCCCTGCTGTAGGCAAACAATACTAGTAATCTACTTTCTGTCTCTATAGATTGGCCTATTCTGGGTATTTTGTATAAATGGAACCACACAAGATATGTACTTTGTGACTGGCTTCTTTCATGTAGCACAATGTTTCAAGATTCATCCTTTTTATTGCTGAATAATATTCCCGAGCATGAATATAGCACATTCTATCAATTTACCAGTTGGTGGGCACTCATGCTGTTTCTATATTTTGGCTATTATGAATAATGCCACTACGAATATTCATGCATAACCCTGTGTGGACAAATTTTCATTTCTCTGGGGTATATATTTAGGTGTAGAATTGTTCGGCCATGTGGCAACTGTATGTTTAGCATTTTGAAGAAATTCTAAATCATTTGCCTAAGTGACTGTAGCATTTCACATTCCCACCAGCAATATATGAGGGCTCTAACTTTTTCATACTCTTACCAGAATTTGATATTGTCTGTCTTTTTAATTATAGCCATTATGAAGGGTATAAAGTGGTATCTCATTATGGTTTTGACTTGCATTTCTCTAATAACTAATGACACTAAGCATATTTTCACATACTTATTAGCCATTCATACTGGTATATCTCTTTTGGACAAGTATTCTAACTGCTTTCTATGACTTTTTCTTTGCCTTTTATGGCTTTATTTGATACAAATGGATAGGTTTCTTCCTATTTCTCCTTTTGAGGTACTTTGAGCCTCCTGATTGTGGACTGGTACCTGTCATCAGTTTTGGAAAAGTATCAGCTTTTATTTCTTCAAATGTGAATAGTGATCAAACACATCTTTCCTTCTGGAACTCTGATTATACTTATAATTGACCTTTTTCTATATATCTTAACTTATCTTTCATTTATTGCATCTTTTTACTTAATTTATTCTTCTCTATTTTCTAGTTTGTTAAGTCTCTCTTCTTCTGTGACCCTCCTCTGTGATGACTTTGTATTTATTCATTGAGCTTTGAAATTTGCATTTTTATTTTCCCATTTCTAGAAGTTCTCTCTAAATTTGCTTGGTATTTTAATTTATTTTTTAAATATATATTTTATTGATTTCAGAGGGGAGGGGAGAGGTAGAGAGACAGAAACATCAATGAGAGAATCATTGATTAGCTAGCTGCCTCCTGATTACCCCCCACTGGGGTTTGAGCCCACAACTCGGGCATATTCCCTGACTGGGAATCACACCATGACCTCCTGGTTCAAAGGTCGAGGCTCAACCACTGAACAACACTGATTGGGCTAAATTTTCTTGATATTTTTATAGTCTCTCGACTTTTATTTGTATTCAAATACCTTCTTTTATTTATTTAAACATATTAATCACATTTATGTCATAGTATTTGTCTTAAAAATCCAAGTCCTAAAGTTCTTACCACCTGGATCTGCTGTCTGTTTTTTCTACTGATTCACGGTGGCTTGCTTTCTTGCAGGTTTTCTAATTAAAAAAATAATATTGTGCCTTCATTTTTTTGTAACTTTATCTACAGAAATATTTTGCAGGCTAAGTTCGCACGCAGCCTTCCAGAGCAGTTGCCTCTGCCAATACCTGGGGCCCTACCAACCAAGGACCCCTTTAAACCACATCCTCTACTTGTAGATTCTGGATCACCTCACACTGCACATCGTGCAAGATCCAGCTGTGGGTATAGATTCTCAGAGATCGTTTTTTTGTCTTCCACTTGGCTCAAAGTTTTAAAATATATACTTTTCCCTGTAGTCTCCAGTCTGAGTGAGAGGAGAGTAGAATTGGGAGGTTATTTGTAGTTAATCCTCACACCCAAGGGTGATGCTGTCCGGGATCCCAGCCTTATCTGGTGTGACAGCAGAATCCCTATTTGACTCTTCATCTTGAGCAGGCTCAGGCTTCTGTCTCTTTTCTTAAATGTCTCTGTGACGGTGAAAATCAAAGCTCAAGTTCACTTGCCTAGCAAAGACTAACAAGAAGATTTAACCAGTGCTCGATTGATCACTCCAGCTCCCTGCTTTGGCTCAGTTTGGGCCCTTGAGATTCTTTCTAACTTGACAGTTCACAAGTACATTTTTATTTTATTTTCTGTTTGTTTTAAATTTATCTTTATTGTTGAAAGTATTACAGATGCCCCCTTTTTCCCTGTGGACCTCCTCAAGGGAAATACGTTCTAACATACATTTCACCCAGCAATTTTTGTTGTTTTCAGCAACTGAAACTGGCATAAACAAGGGCCAAGCTACTGACAATAACGGCTGAGCATGACCCAGAGTGAGATGCTTAAAAAAGAAGTGAAAACATCTTCAGAAGTGTTCAGGTTGCACAATTTACTAGAAGGATTTATATGGAAGGAGATTCCATCCTCAGGAGAAGTCAGACTGATCAGGGGGCAAATAGGTTGCATCTTTGTTGCCATATCAAAAGGTTTGGTAGTGGCCGGCCGAAAGGTAGTCTTGAGAATGGTTCTGGATTTGCCTGAACGTTCACTGGGAGAGAATCGTGATTGATTATCAACATACTCTGCATGTGTAAGCAGGTGGTGGCACGGCTCAGGTATGTGCAATCCATGAACTACATTATTATTGTCATAATCTAATCATGTGAGTCGATGATCATTTTTATCTGGAATAGAGTAAGAAATTCTCTCTCTCTCTCTCTCTCTCTCTCTCTCTCTCACACACACACACACACACACACACACACACACACACACAATGGAGTGTAAGTAGAGG